AGCTGCTTCGACTTGTTCGATTATGTTATCGACTCAATTTCATATTTATTTTCACATTTTCACTTCGCGGTCCTTCTCTGTTCTTTCTCCGTTATTTACACGTGTAGGACATTTCATTGTTATCCACATTTGATATCATCACTTATCACATACTGCCATGACGCTCATGTCTGTCCGCTTCAACTGTCAAGAATTAATGCGATTGGCGAAGCATAGTGACAGCGGGCCAATAGAGAGCGGGGTCCTTGCCATAATGCGGTTTGCGCGCCAATTTTCGTACGTGCGATAATCGAGCCGAATAGTTTGGCCGAATATTCGGCTATTCGGCCACGCTCCTGGTCGAATATTCGGTATTCGGCCTGAGGCCGAATATACTATTCGTTACAACACTAATTTATATTAATATGTATCACTTCTTAAGAAAATTTAATAAAGATATTTATCTTAATTATGAAATTATAATAGCACGTTTTTTTAATTTTTGGAACCTAATCCCACTTTTCGTACTAGTTCTTTGTTTCGTATAACACAGATTCGCATAACACGGCAATTTTTTGGAACATAACTCCGTGTTATACTGTGGTTACCTGTAGTTCTGCTTGAAAGACAGAACAGTAGTTGCTTAGACGGATTTTCTGGTAGTAAATTTCACTGTTATTGAGGTACTGTAAACCACAAAACTGCATCCTACATTGTCTAAGCACTTCGAGCCATCGGTGTAAACAGTAACGTTGGAGTTGGGATTAGAATTAAAGTGAAGATTGGGTTTTGTGCTAGGATAAGTAAAACGTGAGAAGGATTTTCCTTTCTAGGTCAACACCATGTATAATATTGTTGGCAGTGGTAACATCTTTCCCGTTTCACCTCCCATGTATCACAATGCAAATTAATTATTCTGTCGATAGGTAGCTTTCTAGCAATTACTTGGAGACTAGTATTGGGGGCTGTACGGTATGCCATATACAGTATATGGAATATTTAGGAAGAAACAAAAGAAATACGGATGATCACATAGCGAACCAGATAACAACCATCCATATATTTTGTGCCGAATGCCATACCAATAACTCTGGTATTAAATTCATTAAATCAATAACAGAAAACGAGAAGTGAAAGTGATATATCGAACGAAAAATTATCATTTCGATTCGAACCAAGCTCACCTTATGTCTAAATTGCCGGAAAAATTTAATAATAGAAATTCAATCGTAGTTATCGTTGGATGTAGCAGATAAGATGTGGTGCACCTCTGACAGAGCGTATCGAAAGTACACGCAATACGTAATAAAAAAATCAAACAGGTAGAAAAAAAAATGAAATTTCACTTTTTAGTTCATTTAAGAGGGGTCATCATTTTGTCCAAATTGTTAAAAAAACGAAGCGTAACGATCACAAACAGTATTTGGAAACTTTACTGAAGATCAATGGTCAAAATTGTCAAATCGATTCAATATTTTATATAATTAATATATTTTAATTTCTTACAATTTAATAATAAACATGCTTTTATATATAGTAAGTTAAAAGCTATCAAATGAAATAATAAAGGTTAAAATCGTGTCATACATTGCTAAAAATAAAAAATTAGTCAAAGCGTTTATTTTGACTAAAGTTCAATGATCTTAATTTGTTACTATAATTGTTAAATTTGTACTGAAATTAATACTTTGTTAATTTACCAGGAATATTTGACAAATTTATAAGAATAAAGTTTTATAAACGAGTCGAATTTAATCACAAAGCATGTTCCGGTTATAGAAAGTGAGACGAACACGTGTACAGTTTGGAAAACGCTACCGGAACGGATAACTAAATAAGGGAAGGAATTGTGATTTCTATTTTTAGTTATCGTTCTTTTATAAAGGGTAGTCGTTCTCTCCACTTCAGTTCCGCTTTCGTTATGAGGTAAGTGCAAATAAAATATAATACGGTTAAATTATATACTAATAATTCGTAATAGACTCGTATACTTCAGTTACATTTAAGTAGCACACGGTTCAGATTGCCTTCTTCAAAATAGATTGCCAATTTGGAAAAGTGTGCATAAATTATACTCTGTAAGCAATCACTGTTGTAATAAATTGTACGGCAGTCACAAAGCAGAGAACAGCTTATTCGTTAATATTTACATATTAGAATTTAGCAAAGATTCTTTTAAAAATACGCTTTTCATTTAAATATTTGACATTAATATTTAATTTTTATTTTAAGGAATACTTTTTTTTTCTCCCAACAGATATTCCAATATCAGAAAATATGCACTAATATAGATTTGTTCTTAGAAGAGGAATAGTTATTATGTATAATTTTATTTATTAATAAATAAAAAATTTCTTATAAATTAAATTGTACAAATTTATTTTGTTTTAAAAACATTTATTTTAAAAATCAAATGAGTATCCATTTACATAAAAAAAATTGATGATATCAACACAATAAATGTCTCTATTTACATTACAAATGTGTGAACGAAAGAAGATCTGTTTAATCACTTTCACTATCACTCTCTTTCCCACTATCAGGTTGACCAACATGAATGTTGAATTTATATTCCTGATCACATCCCATGTAAGCATCGCTCATAAAATATAAGGTGTAAACATGCTCACCCGGACTGGGTGCCACAAAGTCTAATTTTACTTTTGCTTTTTGTTGTAATGTCAGTCGTTTGATAGATATCAGAGAATTTGATTTGGGATCTCCAATAACTACCCACCATCCTTCTTCTCGTTTCTATAATAGTTAAACACAATATTAGCTAAATAATTCTAAATAACTCAATAAATAAATTTACTGTAGTTACATTGTGAAAAAAAGAAAAATCACATACCTGAGGAAATAAGGGAGCGATGACAGGTCCCGTAACTTCGTCTTCTCTTTCTAACTGAACTATTACATTTACGGTGGAACCACTGATATGTGAGAAATTAAAATTAGAAATTTCATAACTGATAATTGTTATAAACTCTACTTATGAATAATATACTATAAATTAAATCAAATCTTACCTGTGAATAATATCTTTATCTTGTACTTCATATGTTAATTCAATATTTGGATATCTATTACAAAATCTTGCAACATCTGCCATTTGTGCATCTGTCAACTGAAGTAATTTATTTCTATCATCATCTTCAAGTTCCATAACATCAAACACAGTTTCTACTCCTTTTTCAATACAACGCTTAACTATTTCTGTAGTGAAATGAGGAAGTTGTTTCAAGTAAGAGTCCTTATTCCACATTGCTTGAGTTACCATCTGTGCTAATTCCATAGCAGCTAATGCTGGTGACAACCAACCATTTGAACTCAATACATCCACACAAGCTTGAATTAAACGTACCGCCTATATTTTTGTATGAATAAATATTTATTTTAACAAATAAAAGATATTTGTACAAATATTAAAAAATATACTTACTTTATTTAATATATCTTCAGTGTCTGACTGTAATTCAGCAGAGAGCTGCATTCGAGATAAATGAGCTTGTAGAAGAAAATTGGTTTTTGTATGTGGATCACTATATTTCGGATTGCTTGATTTGTGAGATAGACGATTAGCCAACTAAAGATATTAAAAATATGTATTAAATATATATCACAAAATAAAATTGAATATATGTAAATTAATAATAATAACCTGTCTGAGAATGCTGTCTTCATGATGTCTAACTGGTACACTTTCATATTCAGCAGCATTACTTATGATATCAATGAGACCACGAATCTTTGTTTTAGCACTCAGAGACATACTGAACAATTCTATTAGAAGAAAATAATATGTCATTTCATATTATTGAAAATAAGTTTGAAATTAAAGAGAAACAAAAGTTACCAATAGTTGTATAATTGATATAATAGTAGGCAGCAATCATTCCAAGATTAAGAGGAGAGACATCCATCTCATCTTCAATGCTGATGCACTGAAAATATAAATATTGACATAGTATAAATTTTTAAAATCATATATTCAATAAATAACATTTAAATTTTTCAACTAATTGTATCAATACATAAATTTACCTTTGATTGTTCTAGATCATTCAGTGTGTTCTCTACAAGTTCTGATAGATGGTCAGAAAGATGACGATGAGTAACACCTGCAAAAAATAATACTCTCAATAACTACTTATTTCATTTTTGCATTTAAATAAATAAAATATTACCTTGTAAATTATAATAATTTGGATTCTGTGTCATTCGACGATAAAGAAAAGTCCAAGTTAAATAGTCAACTGCATCTTGCTTGTTTTCTATTGTTTTTGTAACAATTTCAGCATTGAAATGATCATGTAAGCAATGATCTAAATGACTCTAGAGAAAGGATTGGACATTTGAATTAATAAACACTTAAAATAAATTGTTCTTCAAGCAATTTAATTAAGTACTGTAACTGAAATAGCCATACAGCTTATAGCATAAAAAGTTTTACAAATGATATTCCCCAAACATCTTTCCTATGGAACTATTAACAAAACAACATTCATACATTTGGTTACAATTTTATTTTTAATCAAAACACTCAATATTCTCTGATATTTCATTTCAATATTGCTGTCTATGGATCACCACCAGTATATAATATAGTAAATTTTGCTAAGTCAAATTCCAGAAGATACAGAAAGATTTCAGCTTATACAACATTCAATTGTATTTCAATTAAAATTACTTTCAATTTTTAAAAAATTAAACAATGATCATGTTAAGAATAACAACATGATGGCAGTTAAGATAAATCCATGTCTGTAAAATAACCATTCAAGTCTACATCAAATCCTTTGAAATTTATATGGATGATCTGGCCTAAATGTCTCAGTCTCCATGCCGCTGTGTACCTGGCTAAACTCACAATAGGTACAAAAAATAATCCCTTAGGACTTGCAGAGCAAAGAATTTCAAAGAGGGGAAGAATTCATTTTTATGTTTTTAAAAATATATTTTAATTACACATTTATGTTATTTCTGTATAGTCATCAAATTATATGTTAAAATTTGATTATCTATTTTATATGATAGAATTGTTTTTNTTAATTTAAAGTAACAATATATAAAATTAACAATACGGGTACTCACTAAATTTCTTAAATGAGGGGTACAATCTAGAGATATGACATGTCACGGGGTATGCTAATGAAAAAAGGTTGGGAACCACTGCACTAGAACATCATAAAGTGACGAAGTATATAGGCTATTTATTTACATTAACCTCCAATAACAGCAATCATTTTTATGTCCTCTTCAATGGCCGTTATTCAGAGGTTTGACTACATTTTTATCGTCTCACTCGATTTAGTGCAAACTACAATTCTTCAATTTGCGCTAAATCGAGTGTGGCGCTAAACTGAAGATCCTCAAGCAATAATAATTATATATATATAATGGCGAGATCTACACACAAGTTTGAATTTTATAGTTTGAAAGTCTTATTTTAATGATAAGCATGGGTACAAACTCTAAATGGTCATAAGATCATTTAACACTGATATGGGCTGTTCGCGTGGGGTTTTCCGGGTTTTCTTCAGGCGTTTAACACCTAAATAGCGGATAATTTCCCACAGAAAGTCTTCCCGAGTGGAATTTCCATTGACAGATCTCCCACGTATTGCTTGACTGTATCAAACCGAACCAATTTAATAAATTCTCTATTTAATGAATATGGGAATTGAGTTTTACGAATGTAAATATCGAGTTAACAGGTTTAAATAGCCATATTCTATATGGTTACTTAATCAAGGTTGAATCACTATATCGGGAGTTTTTACCGGAAATGTCTCATAACGTTATTAAGATTTGCAGTCATGTTTTGTAGTCGTTCGTACATAGAAGTATTGTTCGAATATTTATACATTAATAACAGTTTTTGATATATTAAAAATGTAAATTACCGGTATATAAGTGACACTTAACACATGTAAGTTCTTATATAAAAAAATAAGTTTATAAATTATTTCACTAAAAATCATATAAAATCACAATTAATAATGATTAATTATAAAGAGAATTTTAATGACATTCCTAGTTAAAATTTATTAATTTCATCAAGAATCGATTAATGAGTTCTTTGAGATCCCCCTTTGAAAAATTATTTTTGAACACGTTCTCATGAAAAAACTCGATTATTCCAAACTTTTTCGATTAATTTTATAGAATAAACATTGTTTGACTGCTTTTTTTAAAAATTAATTCCACGAAAAGGGTGAGAGTCAGCTTTGAGATGATGGAGATGGGCGCGGTTATACATTTTATTTTCTATACCATTATTTATTTTCAAAATATGAAAAATATAATTATTAAAAAGTGAGCATTATTGAATACTGCACGAAAGTCAGTTATGAATTTGAGCAGTTTGAGTTATTGGTCTGCAATTTGAAAAAATTGTTTGGATATACTGTATAACTTTCTATTGTAGTTCACCTGTCCTTCCTTAATCTCGAGAAAGGAGCTAGATAGATGAAAGATTAGACAATATATGAAAATCTAAGGGGCAGGAGGCCCCGATTAACTATATATAAACTTCTAATACAAATGGAACTTCACGTTATTTCAATTCAAAAGTTTTCCCCAGAAAGCAGTTAATATATGCACGACTCTATTGTTAAAGGAAAAGTATGATATACAGGGGCAAGCCATTACTAATTTGAGGTGGAAAGCATCTTAAATTCTTGACTGCTTTAGTTCAGTCCTTTGAGAGTTCGTTGTATTTCACTTTTAAATTAAGAGATAATTAATGTTTAATTATAATTGTCCAATCTTCCATATAAAAGAATATACTCTTTGCTATTTTTGCCTAAGTTTAAAAATGATTTTTATATAATTATATAATTTTTTAAAATATCAAATGTGCAGAGATATTAACAGAAAAAAAAAATTAATCAAATAAAATGCTTGGTGTTTGAAGATAGCAGCAATATGGAAGATGAAAACAAGTCACGCAAAGTCTCTACTTGTTTCCCAATATAGAATAATAAAACTATATTCTGGAAAATAAGATTTTTTAAATAAAGATGTTATTGTCTTGAATACCAGCTGCACAGTATTGCTAATTGTTTTTTTCCTTTGTGACAGCTAGTGAAACTATTATCTGTAATTGATTGTCGGTCGATTAGTCAGTCACGCATACGGAAATAAGAATAAAAACTTCAGGAATACTTTTACCAATAACTGTATGACATATTCGAAAAATATTAATGTTTATTCGGATTCTCTATTTCCGGCTCATTTATGCTACAGTTTGAATCAAATTCTCTCAGAGAAAACATGAATACTGACCATCTAATTCACAGTGTGTAGATAGATATTTATAAGTTAGAATAGACGTGGTAGTGTGCCATGAAATTCACTTAGGTGTGCTACAAAATTTAAAAAAAACATTCTAAAATGCTAACTTTTTCTGCTTTTTAATAATATTTTCAAACTTCCTTATATAAAAAATGCAGATCTTCAACTTCGTTTAGGCTATATACAGTGTCAAGAGTATCGTTGATGCATACAAGACTGCCTTTTTCTAGTGGCTATGATTCATCCAATATTGATAATATTTAGCTCAATTATTCAAAATTAGTTATAAATGACTTTTGGAAGAAATGTTTGATTTTATTCAATCGAAATTTTAACTCGAGTGCTTCGAACTGTCACTGTTTAAAATTCGAAATGAAGAACGTTGATATGCATATAAAATACGAGAAATGACATTTAAATAAGATTTATTATTGTTTCTGGCAGAATATATTAAGATTTGAAAAAAATTATTCTAAAAATATTAAATAATAACGATAATAACACTTAAATTCCATTACAGAATACAGTATATGTATTAGAACTGAAATATTAAATACAGGGAAGCACTTGTGATGCATGTGCACACACATCAGACGTGTTAACGTGCATTTGCCTGAGCAGACGGAATTTATATGCGCATTCAATTAAATGACAACCACAAAAACATATTCCATGATTTATAAATGACTGTATAATAAAAGGAGCCTTCTAGTTAGACTTTTGATCACTTTTGTAATGTTAAATACTAAATTCTGGACGGACGGATGGTCGAAGACATAAGTTAAAAGTGTCAGCATACTGTTCTGGAGACTTGGATTAGAATCCGGATCGGAGATTTCAGAATAAATGGATAAGGCAACGCAACACACGGGCGATCTGTCAAGGGGGATTTAATAAAAAAACTGGGTCCTATTTACGTGTTAGGCACGTGAAGACATGCTCCACGTTAGTTATGACTAACCACCAGTGTTTAGTGGTTATAAACTATTGGTGGATCAGGGACTTCAGTTATTTTTTAGGTATGGTCTATCTCTAATATATTCAGTCTCATCCCTCACCATCTGGCCATTGTGACTCTGGGCAAGAAAAGGCCCTTTAATGTCCACATGGAAAAAATAATTAAAATAATAACAAAATACTGTATGCCCAGAGTCTGTCATGGTGTATGTCAGTGGACATCAACAATATACAGATACTGTAGTTGCAAGTGCAAATGTTATGACTCAGTGGTCCTTTTTCACACGTGTGTCACATTCTCACGAGGACATTGACGAAATTTCTTGACACTAGCGAAAAATCCAATTAGGAACATCTAGTTTAATAGTTACCAGTACTTTTCGCACAAAAAATGTGGGTGTAGTTATGATACCTTGTTTACAATT